AAGAAAAATTCACTACCTGACTCGTGAATTCCACGTTAAATTTCACTTGAAAAATCGATATCGCACTCATCGCTTCGCGATTCGTGCGATATCGGTTTTTCGCGTGAAATTTAACGTGGAATTCACTCGTCAGGCAGTGAATTTTTCTATAGAATTCACGAGTCAGGCAGTGAATTTTTCTTGAATTTCATAACTGACTAAAAATAAGAAAACAAGAAATTAAAACGGCAATATTATTGTTTCTTTGTATCCCGTACGCGCGCCCTTAAGAAAGCCATTTTAAAGTCAACTGTCAGAACAGTCATCGATCTAAGGGGAATGGAAAGCATGGTAAGTCGTTCACGTTTGAACCGTCGACAATTTTATTTGTACCTCGTGAATTTTTCTTGAATCGCATAGCTAAAGTTCTCTTAACACACTACAATTCTCTTAAAATTCTCTTAAATTACAATTCTCTTACAATTCTCTTAAAATTCTCTTAACACACTACCTACGAATAATTTTAAAACATTCTTCGTATGAGAAATTATATCTAAACTGATAACTGGCGAAAGTTACCTTTTCAGACTATTTCTCTGAACCAACTTAATGTTTGCAGAAGTTTTAGAACAAAATATAATTATTTAGAATCAATTCACTAATAGCATAATCCCTTTTAAAACGAAATTGATAATTTTTTTTGCCTACATTCGGATTTCCATGCGAGTCCGGTTTACATAAATCACAAACTTGCTTGCTGTCCTTGGCGGCTTGAAATTATCCTTTACACCTCGAGAAAACGCCCGCTATCCACCGTACGACTCTTACCTTCGATTCTCTACAAAATTCAGCAACAGTAACGCTATTTAAATCCGCGAAAAAATCAATAGATCTCTTCCCACGCGCACGACTTGACGGAGTTGACGCGATATTGTTCAGAAGTCACGCTTTTAAGCAACACGCAATTAAAATTGCGTGTTGCTTCCCAGCCAATGGCATGCAAGGATTTAACTTATGTGATTGGCAGGTCAAGTTACGCTCCAACATGAGTCGTGCCAACGATGTGCATTTATTACTAATCTTACGTGCCAATATCTCATTGGTTCTGAAAACAAAGCCACGCTGCTTTGATGTTATTTTGAAAGTTAAGATGCCTCGGTGTGTCTGACTGCAGTGGTAGAAGTTTTCAACACTTACGCTCGTTGCTTGTCTCAACAGTGTTAGAAAATGGCGTCTATCTTTGAACCATCGGAGGAAAAAACTAATGGTACGAAGTTAGCGCGACTGCTTATTGATGTAGGAACGCCAGCGCTTAGGAACGTCTTAGAGTCTTTCATACATCCGCCTTTAACATTAAAAATTATGTTAAAGAACAACAAGAGGACCCTCGACGACTTAAAGAATAAGAAACGTGTATTAAATGGGAACCAGTGGGAAAAGCTTTTTCCTCCATCAGGCGACCCACCGGACTCTAAAACATTTGATATCATTCTTCTACATTTACTGCTTCGAAATATCTGTCCCGCTTTGAAGAAACCTTCCACAGGTTGGCACGAAATGCCCGCAGACACGGATCACAGTCGGGAAGCAGAGATCGTCCGGATTAAATACTTCCGAAACAGCGTGTCTCATAACTTTTCCACCGGTGTTCCTAATGACGAGTTTGAAGACAAATGGAACACAATTTCTCATTCTTTAGTGGCCTTAGGGGTCGATCAGCTGGAAATAAACTGCCTAAAAACACAAGACATCGATCATGGTACACAGCGACGAATCGATGAAGAAGTAGAGAAATGGAAGCTTGATATTGAACCGAGAGTACAGACCTTAGAGCACAAAGTTGAACAGATAGAATCACGCATTTCAAGCAATCAACAACATATTTCTGCGCCACTTGTTACTCGTAAGCTTCCCAATTGTCTTCCAGATGAGGTTCACCATGTATTTGGTCGTTCCGAAGAAATCAAACGAGCCGTGGAGGCTGTTCAAAGCGGAACAGTTTCTATTGTGTCTTTAACGGGTGGACCGGGGTTTGGCAAGACCACTGTGGCTAACAAAGTGGCCCACGAGCTGGCAAAACGCGAAAACAGCCGAAGTGTGTTATTTTGCCCACTAACATACGAACCATCACTAGACGACGTATTTACCGAAATGATTCTTACCTGCAGCGCAAGCCCCTCTCAGCTGCCTGAGAATCCCAAACGCTGGCTTCTGAACTGGAGCAAACAGCAATCTGGGAAAGTCACATTGATTCTTGACAATGCAGATCGTGTCCTCGAGTCTGAAGATCGACACCAGTTTGTGGACACGTTACGGAAAATGAGGACCCTCTCAAGGCAAAATCTAACTTTTGTCACTACATCTAGAAAAACAGTCGATGTACCCAGTTGTGGTTCAAATATCCAAAACATAAGATTAAATTCTCTCTCTTCGCCTGACGCAATCAATGTTCTTGTTTCAAGGGCTAGGGATTCGGAAACGAGACAGAAGCTTTCCCAGTCGGAGAAAATAGTCTCGCTCTGTGGTTGTGTCCCTTTGGCACTTCGCATTGCTGGATCTTTGCTTTCACACTGCGAAGAAGACAAATTAATCGAAAAGCTCGCAAATCAACCTCTGGATGTTCTTCAGGACAATAATGATTCGGTTGATAAGACCATCAAGACCTCCTTTGATTTCTTGAGTGAAGCAGAACGAAAGGGCCTGACAATCATGTCCGTGTTTCCAGGTCCATTCGATTCAGATGCAACTGAAGCTGTACTTCCAGCTGTGATGGATTCTGAAATTCAGCCAGTTTTGATTCTCCAATCACTCCAAAACAGGTGTCTCTTGGAGCAGCCAAGTTCATGTAGATATGAAATTCATCAGCTTATCAAAATGTTCCTCTCAAAGCATTGTCACACCAAGTATTCAGAGGCTGTTGCTCAAGGAAAGGAAGTAGCATGTGCTCATTACATGTCTCGCCTTGCTGAAAATGCAGATCGCTACTGGGGAAAGGACACTTGCAAGCAGTCCCTGGATTCCTTTAACAAAGACAGGCACAATTTTGAGCACTATCTTCAACAGAGGGGAAGTGAGGGCTATGTGGCCATGAAATCCTGTGAAGCATTTTTTGACAATCTTCACCAGAAATGCATGTACCTTGAGATGTGTGTCCATCCCAGATTTTACACCCACTTCTTGCAAGAGTTGCTCACGGTTAATGCTACAGAAATTAATCCTGTGCGCAAAGTCGAGCTGTTATGTCTCCTTGGACGAGAAGAGAGAAAAGTAAGACATACAGAAAAGTACAAGAACTACATGGAAGAGGCTTACAAGTTGTATTCCAAGAACAAAACAAAATTTGAGAAGTATGTAATGTCAGAAATTACTTTTCTTAATGGTTATGCTCGTTTTCTCTCTGATGAAAAGATGCCCACAACATGCAAAGAGGTGTGCGATGATGCTTTAAGAATCTGCGAGCAAAAACTCTGCAATCATTTTGAACGAGGGGCAGCGTTGATGGTTGCTGGAAGAGAGGACAAGCATTGCAGACGTTTTACTGAAGCCGAAAAAAAGTTCAGTGAAGCATTGAATCTCCTCAAGGAGTGTCTTGGGGAACATTTAATGACTGCTAAATGCTTCAAATTCATCGCTGACTTGAAATTAAATGATGGCAAAGGCTCTTTGGCAGTTAAGTCTTACAAAGAGTCTCTAGAAATGATGGAACACTTGGGCATGGATGGCCACAAAGAGACCATTTTATTGCTAAAAAACTATGGATCTTGCCAAATGAGCAATGGTAACTATGAGGAAGCGAGAGCTTTATTAGAAAAAGCAGAGCTTGTTGCCGAGAGAGAACTGGTAGAAGATCATATGTGGAAAGTAAGGGTGAAGACAGAGCTGGCAATTTTGTTTCACAAAGAAAGAAAAGAAGATCAGATGATAGAGGCAATGAAAAATGGACTAGAAATGTGTTACAGACTTGAAAATACTGTTGAAGAACTGGGTAACAAGCGTGAGATCCGGAAAGTTCTAAATGGTCATCCCGAAAAATTTCCAAAGGACAAGTACCCTCGCTGAAAAGAATGGACACCCCTTCAACCTGAATAAAGAATAAATTAATGAGGAACTTTTATCCCTTCATTGAACTGACATGAAGATCGGTATGTTATTGTTTAAGACGTATCATTCTAACTCGATCTACCTCGTTCTTTTGCATTGTGGATTTCAAGCAGTTCTCCTTCAGAAGAGGACGTTTTCTTTTCAGGATTTTGGAATATTTTAGTAAGGAGTAGAAGCACATGAAAAGAACAGCAAAGTGGATCTGATCAAGTACTGACTTTTGAGAACTCTGCTAATTAATGGAATGTCTTGAACACTTACAAACATCAAAAGAGAGTTTTATTATTCAAAATCTAATGCAAAATTTGTACTGATTTCATTCAGAAGTATTTTCCAGGTTGTAACTTAGCCAACCATAGTTAATGTTAAGACTGGAGGGGTAGTTTTAAAGGTGACTTTAGGAAATGTAACACCCTGATAAGCAAATGAATCGATTTTTAAATTTTTTTTGTTGGTAATGTAGACTTACGCAAAAAGGGAAAATGCCTTTCAGCGTAATCAGTTACTCATTATAGAAATTATCCGACTTCATTCAAATAGAAGTGTGCCGAAGATTGATGCACTTGTCACTGTGTTGTCACCTTCACAGGCAAGCTTCCCATCAAACTAACCAAGTTGCTTGTTTCTGAGGAGGTATTCAGTGAATTTAAATCTATTCTTGCTTGATTATTTTAATAGTAAGGGTATTTCCTCCTCGATTAGCAATATTGCAAAAAAATCATTTGTAACAATGATTCACGAATGAGTGACTAAATATTCTATCGGGGAATATATTTTGTTTTTGTCACTAGGTATACCAGTAGTTCAAAAAGTTTAAAGGAGTAATAGGCTCATGTAAGCTGTTACCGTGGACTCACAGGACTGATAGAAAATGAGGAAATAATGAAATACAGGTTTCCAGAGATAATCCGATAACACTAAACCAAAACCAGAAATGTCACAACAAGATAAACATTTTTTTTTCATTATCTATTGTAAACAAACAAGTTCAAACTAGCTTGTAAGAAAGTTTGGAAGACTGAAATGAGACTGCTTCAATTTGTCATGACTATTTTCTATGACAAACCTTGGGTTATTTTTGCTTATTTCATAGATAAACATGCAGGAAATATAAAGGATACATCCAATGCTGCACCTTAATTATGACCTGAAATCATGTGTTTGTGACTTCCTTGGAAAGCCAATGTCCTGGATAATCCTGCACAATTATTTGCTAAATATACAACATTTCTTGGAAGTTGCTTGATCAATGTAAGAATCCTTAGGATCATTATCTTTCAGACAACATGTATGTCCGTCCCTAATACCTAGAGTGAAATGGTGTTATATTATGGGTCACCTCTAGTACCTTTTCGGTTCTGTGAAGACCACTTTTCAAGTGCTTTTCAAAACTCATGGAAGTGTCAGACTCTGAATGAAAAAAAAACTTCAGCTGGAGATTTTAGCTCTTACTGCACCTCTAGCTAAAACTCGATATTCTGATCAATTTTTGACATGGGACTTGCCCTCCCATGCCATAATAAACAGATTTATTTTACCCAAATAAAAAAGTTTTAGTCCCCTACCTTTGCTTTGTCAATAAATAAAGGCAGGGTGAACTGAAGGGTCAAAACTTAAGAGGGACAGGCTCAGAGCATATGAAATTGATTGAGTAATAACCACAAGACCTTCTGGCGACTTTGATAACAATTGAGTTAAGGCAATTAAAATCCAATTTATTTGACTGAAATGAGATAATCTAAGTCAGCAAAAGTCTTTAAAATTTCAAAATATATACAGAATCCCTCCCAATAGACACGAGCTATTTTAGTTCCTTTTTATATCCACATCAGTCACTGTATTGTCTAAAATATCCAGATTTCAAACCACTTTAGCTAAAAATGCCTAGACAGAACTACCACAGTAGTCATTGTTCAGTTACATGTAAATAATTAAAGCTTGTGAATAAATAGCCAGGAAAAATCATGGGTTATAAGCCTAAGGCACTAATTAAGTAAATTTAAATTGGAAATTTCCAAAATGAAATTTGACATTGACTGTTGTACCTTTTGCCGTAAATAACATTTAAAATTTTTAACTTATTAGTCATATTTAAATTTATTTATACATATATATATTATAATTTTCTTTTATTGTATTATTTTATTTTAGTACTTTCAATATCTTTACTTGGAGATATTAGCAAGTATTTGCTATCTTTAATTCAAGTTTAAATAAAGTTATTGAAAAGTATTGTATATTGTATTGTATAATATCAATATAACAACCAAAGGTCAAATAAACCTATTAAAAAACATGCACATAGTTCCATAAATTTTGAGGACAGAGACACGATTTACATATAACTAAACATAAATTTTCCACCGAATAGTTAATTAAAATTACTTAGAATTATTTCCATGTATCATTTAATTCACAAAGCTTCACAAATTTTAAAGATTGCTATCTTGCTAAACTTGTCTCCCATACTTTAGGCAGTTGTACTGTCAATTTTGGCATGAAAGTTTGGGAAATCGCATGCCTTTTCAACAAAAATAGCTTGGTCCTTTTCAAGGACCCAACCAATTTGATCTCCTGCCTCAGTGAGACAAAACACCCTAATACCATAATCGGGTCCTTCGTAAGAATACTAACTTTCCAGTCTCTCTAACTACTCTTCCTGGCTGCAGAAAAATTTTGGCATCCCAGTAATAAAGAGAATAGAATCTTTTAAGAAAATCTTTTAAGAAAATCTTTTTACTACCGTTGCGTTTGTCGGATCACCAGGACCTCCCAAGTCTTCCATATATTCACCTGTTTCCAACCCGCAGCGTTTAAACTACAAAAATAGAATAAGTTTTATGTTTTGGCTGGTGCTACTATTACAGGTTTAAAAGCATTCATTACCCTTAGGCCCAACGAAATGAAGAAAAAAACCGTACAGTCACACCTTGCATACGCTTTGTTCCTTTTTTACCCACTGATCACGAGTTTGCTCATCAGTGGAGTGGGAACCCATTTTCATGGGATCCCATACATCAACACCAAGGGAAGCCACAAAAGTTGCTAGTGAAACTACTGGTTAATATATTTAATACTATACAAACGAACTGATTCTTAACCAAAGATATTCAAAAGCACAACTCGGACCTAGTAAATATATCATTTATATACACACGAAATATCCTTTTATTTCATGTAACTCACGCAAAGTATCGTTGCACAATGCCCGGACAAATGCAAGGTTTCCCTTCTCTCAACCCGTTTCGCGAAAATTCAGGCTCTCCCACTAAGTTCGCCCATACTATCTGTTAAGGCATAATATTTCCTTAACTTTACCTCGAGCTGTGTCGCTGGGACGATTCGTCTTTCTGCAATACAAGCAGGTAGCCAGTCAGTAGACATTAGGCGGACTGTTAATTGTTTCTCAAGAGTGGATTGGAAAGATTGCAGGCCAGAATGATAATCTGCTCAATGAGGGGAAAGGACGTGAGTGGCGTTTTCATCGACGTGGTCGCTCACAGTTCCTCCAAATCTCTTGATTATGTCAACTAATAGTGTAGTTTGTGAAGGCACGTGCATAATGTTCCCGAGTACACTTTTGTCACGGGACAAAACTATGTCACGTGATCAAATGTTGACATGGCACGGCAGCCAGGTTCGGCGTTAAACTTTTTTTTATATATATGTAGGAGATCATTGGGTCATCATAGAAGGGGCTCGTGCATGTATGTTAATTGTGAAACTGACAAAGATAAAATGTACAAAAAGAATATCAAAATCCGAAGATAGATAAAGATTTATGCCTATAGCAGGTTCATCAAGTTACAAAGTTTAACGATTGGTTGAATATGATGGTAGAAGTAGTGCATCATGTATCTTTTAGAGTACCTCTATCAATATTGATGCATCGGTCAGTATATGGATCAAGGAACCTACCCCAGAATACCTTTATAGTTTGGCTTATGTTGATGATTTGGAGCTGTAGATTTAATTTGATTCAATAATATCTCATCAAAAGAAAAGATAACTTATTGCAGCCACAGCCATTTGTTATCTTTTTTTCCTGCAATGAATCGTATCTTTATATTTATTATTTCCTGATAATAATACACAGCCTCAATCTTGTGGTCAACTTTTTCACCATGAAATACAAGACAGTTTAGTTGAAACAGATAGCTGTCTGAGTTGGTAAAAGGAAGAGTGTACATTCTCATCTTTGCTACATCAGTAACAGGGGTGCACATGTAGTAATTTGATGTCTTGATTAAGTCTCTTCTTTGAGTCATGTTGGGAGATTTGTCAAAGATTCCAAATATTGTTCAGCAGTCCAAAGGAAGGCATGAAATCTCACAATCAATTTCATTTTGTAAATGGAGGTGACTAAGTAAGCACTAAAGATATCTTTTTCACTGAATGATGAAGTTTGAAAGAGGCTGACAAGCTCCTTTTATTGAAAATATTGCATCCTTTGTTTTAGGTACAAAAAACTTTTTTAGAACAAAGGATACAATTGTGGCTTAGCCTTAATTTGTGTCAGGAAATCCTTTGCAGCTATAATTTTCCCGTTGAAATTGTCAAGTGCAAGAGGACAATGCACAATGTTTTTTTGTTTCAGTCAACATGGTTATAGAGTATCTTGACTTATTAGTATGAGTAAACCATAATCAACCTATGTCAGCATACCTCATGTTAATTAATTATAAAAATAGATTCCATCATGCTACGTGTCTGTTTAGAGATAGATCACAGATGACATCAAATGTTGTAAGAAGCAAAAAGTGACACACAAAGTGCAGTGGGACTCGCTAATGTTCTTATTACATTTAGACGTCATCTGTAATCTATTATTTCAAAAACCCACAACAACATGGAGTGTATTTACTTTATACATGTTTTAGTCTAATTTCAGAGCTGAGCAAAGAGTTACCAGCAATCTCATTGGTCGAGCAGTTCCTTATATGACATTATATAAACCGCTCCATGCGGTTAAAATAAAATGTTAATAAATCTTACTAAAATGTTATGGTTTTTAGAAATTTCTCTGTTGTTCAGCTCTGAAATTATACTAAAACAATTATTCGGCTCAGGTTTGGTGAATATTGTCGAATAATCCCCTCGTCTTCATCTCGGGGATTATTTGACGATATTCACCTCGCCTTTGGAAAATAATTGTTAAATATGATAAAAGCAAAAAGTTGCTTAGAGTTGTATTCACTTCATTCAGAATTTTTTTTCACAGTAGTACCCAGCTGGCCCGAGAAACATGGCCCTCTGATAAGTAAGGGGATCGATATCTGAATTGTTCGTGTACTTAATGTAAACTTAGGCTAAAAGGAAAATATCTTCTGAACATAATGACTCAATAGTTCTAGAAATTATATCACTGCTTTCAAATAGCACTGTGCCAAATGTATAAACATCAAACTGTTATCACTTTCACAGGCAAGCTTTAACTGTCAAGAATATTAAGCAATCATGAATCTTAATTTTTACTCATCACCAGATACATGCTGCATGATGTTAGGCACAGGAAAATTAAGTATTGCAGAAGCCACGAATATTTAAAGGAGCTGTTTTGTATCTTAAATTTATTGATTATTTTGTTCATTTCTCTTGAAAAGAATGATTAACAGTCCTTATCTTTTGCTTAAAGCTGTTGACTGATTTGCTGAAGAAATATCTGAATAAAGCCGGCCTCATTATGAAGGATGGATACCATCAGATCACCACATCATCACTGGTCACAACGGTTAGTAAATTTCCTGAAGGACTAGAGCAAAACGAAAAACAACAATAACATCGTGCATGTTTCATCATTTGTTGTAGACAAGCAAGTCTAAATTTAATCGTGGGAAAGTTTGAAGACCGAAATGAGGCTTTTTACGCTTCAATTTGCCTTGACTATTTTCAATCGCGAACCTTGGTTATTTTTTCCTATTTTCACAGATAATCATGCATGGCATAAAAAGGTACACCCAATGCTAAAGCGTGACCTGAAATCATCCGCGCATGCGTCCTTGGAGAGACGATATCCTGCTGGATGATCTTGCATAATTATGTGCTAATTTGCAACATTTGGTGGAAATTCCTTGGCTTCCAAGATTCCTTAAGATCATTTTCTCCCGGACAACATGTATATCCAATTTTAATATCCAGAGTGAATAGATGTCATGTTATCTATCATCTTTTTACTTCTGTGAGGACACTCGGCTCTTTGAGAATTTTTCAAAATTCAAGAAGCTTTTAGATTTCGAC